CATGGAGGCTCCACTCCGGCCGGTGTCGGTGAGGCTGCTCGGGGGCCGCCCTGCCCCGTTTGCTCCTGGGTGGAAAGGGCCGAAGCGGCGGCCTTTCCGGAGCGCATGCGGGTGGTGATTCCCGCAGCTCTGGCTGGGGATTCTGGGCGCTGTAGTCCGTGGGAGCTGCTGAAGGGCGCCTGTTTGGGAAAGATCCTGTTTCTTGGGAAAGACGTGTGTGTGTGGGGGGGTCTGCTGCCTTATTCACGGGTATGCTGCTCTCGAACGTGGAGGCTCTATTCTGTTCAGAGCCGCCACGGTTAACAGCTTCCAGTAGATGAGCTGGCCCAGGTGCTTCTTGAGATCCAGGGCATCTGCTGCACCAGGCATCTGGCCGGTCTCTTCCCGGTGTTTCCCATCATCTCCTGGGGGAGCATCACCGGCAGGTAATGCTGGAAATGAATCCTCCCTCCCGTCCCCTGGAGCTTAGTTTTCCTATGTGGTTTTGGTACCGTGTGGTGCAGCTATGGGACCAAAGCGGTGTGGTGCTAAAAGGGGATGGAGAAACTGGTGGAGGGCGAGGCTGTCAATGGCCCGGTCGGAGAGGCAGTCGAGAGGCAGTTGGGTGAGATGGTCAAAGGCACCAGGCTAGAAATTGGGAGACTGTGAGTTCCAGTCCTGCCTTAGGCACAAAGCCAGCTGGGTGACCTTGGGCCAGTTGCTCTCTCTAAGCTCTAGGAAGAAGGCAGGGGCAAAACACTTCCGAAAACGTTGCCAAAAAAACTGCAGGGGCTTGTCCAGGCAGTCACCAGGAGTCAACAGTGACTTGAAGGCAACAAGAGCCAGTTTGGTGTGGTGGTTAAAGGCACCAGGGTAGAAACGGGGAAACTCTGAGTTCCAGTCCTGCCTTAGGTATGAAGCCAGTTGGGGGACCTTGGGCCAGTCACTCTCTCCTAGCCTTAGGAAGAGGGTAGTGTGACAAGCAACAGCAAGCCACCTCCATTACAGAGCCAGCTTGGTGTCATGGTTAAGGGCACCAGACTGGACTTCATGAGTTCTAGTCCGGCGTTAGACGCAAAGCTAGCCGGTTGGCTGTGGGTCAATCGCTTTCAACCCAGGAAGAAGAAGGCAAGGGCAAAACGCTTCTGGAAACCTTGCCAAGAAAACTGCAGGGACTCATCCAGGCAGCTGCCAGGAGTCAAGACTGACTCAACAGCACCAAAAACAAACAACAAAATGGCAGGATTCATGTCAATACCTGATGCTGAAGGACTGGATCTGGATGGATCTATTGCATCTCTGGTTTTAAGCTCCTCAGAGGCATCTGTGCCACTGCTGTGAGAACAGAATTTGATTTGGCAGAGCAATTCTTGGGTGTAAGAGTCTTTCTCCTTTAATACAGAGGCTACTTCCTTGGCTGTAACTCACTCATCTGCCATCCCTCCTAAAATGCGCTAGAGGTGGTGTGCAGGGTCTCTTCCTTTGGCTGCCTGGTTCCTCACCCACCCAGTTTTCTTAAAAAACAAAAACCCTCTGTGAGATAGGCTAAGTAGGAGGATAATGATCAATCCAAGATTTCCAACCAATTTTGTAATCAGAGAGTTGAATCTAGGCTAATATTCTGTTATGTTGTAATGCTCTTGGTTTGGACCGGCCTGGGAAGACAGGAAACCTTCTGGAAGAAGCTTGGGGCAAGCCACTTCTGCGTAGTTCCCTAGGAAAGAACTTGGATAGGTCTGTATAATTTCCAGGAGTTGAGTTCAACTCTTTACATTTGTTTCTCCTCCACCAGCTAACCAGAGAGACAAAGTGAACAAGCAGGTGAAATGATGGTGATGAGCAGATCCAAGAGAATCTCAGTGGTGGGCCAATTGTCCATTTTTGCGAGTACCTCCTGCCAGGATTTGAAAAGGGCAAACTGACAAGATATTGGTTCATCAGCTCTGACTTTGAGTTTTGGGAATTGCCACTTAACATATATGTATTCTTACTTTAAGGAAGATGTAGATTCTTTCATGAAACAGCCAGGAAATGAGACCGCAGATGTAGTGCTTAAGAAGTTGGATGAACAGTATCAGAAATATAAATTTATGGAGCTTAACCTTGCCCAGAAGAAAAGAAGGTGGGTATTTTTGCAATATCTCTTAAAAGGGCTGTTCTAAAGTTTTGGACCCATCTCCCCCAAGCATAATGTGGTGCAAATTATTTTGTTGAACTTTTAAGACATTTATTTCTTTTCAGTAATATTTGCCTACAAGTTCTGCATTAACTTCATTCCTTTTTGCAGTAAAAGGGAACTGATATAACAATGCTTTTTAAAAAAAATTAATCTTAGTAAAACATCAACAGCTTTCTATCCCATTTCGTTTGAGAAGGAAGGGCAGCAACGGATAAAATTGTTGAGCAGTTGGCTATGCTGATGATTTTGGTATATAACTCCCCTCATCCCTGACTATTAATCACACTGGCTAAGGAAGATTGGAATTCTAATTCAACATTGTGAACCACAGCATCCCACTATGGAGACTCTGTTTTGTTGTTGTTTATTAACATGGTCAGTGCTACCATTCTGCCTATCAACTGAGAACTCAGATTATTCCTGAATACTGTAATAGTATGGTTGTGGCTGCAGTGCCTCTGGAAGGAGTAAATGAGCTATCCTCAAAGTTTTCTATGTCATATCTTCATAATAGCATTGCTTCAATATGAAAGGTTATAGGATTTGAATGTAAATATGAAATCCAAGAAATAATCCAAAGATAAGCAAACTTTTATTTGGGAGAGTATTATCCTGCCCTTTTTTTCCCCCAGGAGTTCAAGGCAATAGCCATAGTACTCCCACCTTTATTCCCACAGCAATAATGCTGTAACATAGTTTGGGCTGAGAGCTCGTGTATGACCCAGGGAGATTCCATGGCTGTGGATTTTGACTTAGGCCTCCCCAGACCTAGTCTAACCCCCTAACTGCTATGCCACACTGGTGTGCTCTGATTTAGAGACATTCATGTAGTGGAAAACAATGAAGAATTCATAGGAGGATCCCCATAGCTTCCCAAAATTCCTGCTTCTCAAATCCAGATGTCCACATCTCTCATATATAGCAGAAAAGCTGAGCTGGGTTGGACCAAAAGTCCATGTAGCGCCATCTCCTGTTTTCAGCTGTGGCCAGTCAGATGATCTTATGGTCCAACATTATGTATGTGAAAAGGGGAAAAACCTCTCTACTTTCTGTATCATACCTCTTTATAGCAACTAAAATATTATATAAGCTTTAATACATAATCTGTGCCCTCTACAGGAAGTCTGCGAATCATCATACCCATCTAGGTGATGGTGTCTGCAACTAGCTTCATGCTTATTAATTTCCAAACCATTCATGAGGGCATATCTATAAGTTGTAAGTCATGAAATACATTTGAGAATATAGGAAGAAATTACATAAAATCCACTAAAGCGTTTATTCTACCACAAGTAGAGCTTTTGATGCTTGTTTAGACTGGTAATGGGGAACACCGAAAATTATATTAGAAAAACATGCAGTATCAGCTCCATGGTGGATAAGCTTACAGAAGGTCCTTGTTCTTCTATTTAAAATGCACATGTCACATTTATATCTGAAGGGAGCGCTTTCCTTTTTATGTGTGTGATGAGTCTTTGTGCACGGTCATAACTGTGTGTGCAAGTAACTTATTTGTGACTCATAAAAGGCTATTTTCTTTCCGAGAGAAAGTTTGATATCCACTGTCTCGCTTATTGTCAGCCCCACTAGGTAGACCAGACCAGGAAATCAATTCCACAGAAGGCTAAAACTACTTTTATTGAGATTGGCTCTAATAACAGACTCTTGCAAGTCTTGTTCTGAACCTCCTCATCCTTCTTATAGTTCAGTGAATTAGGGAGGTTGTTTGCCTGAGTCATTTCTGAATGTTATCTCATTCTGGACTTAAAAAATGCTTCAGCCTCTTTTGCCTAGGTAACAGTTGCTGTATACCTCTGTCAGGGTCATCTTCCTCACTTTCTACACTTTTGATATGAATCAAATTAAAATGTTGAATGCTTTTTCAAAATAAACAATGATAAAAATAATATTTTAAATCTATGTTTTATTTACAGGTTAAAAAATCAAATTCCTGAAATTAAGCAGACATTAGAGATCTTAAAACACATGCAAAAGAAAAAGGTAAGTAATGTTCACTCTATTTATAGATGGATACAAAAAATATTCTTGTCATAGGTTGTATGAAAACTCTTCATTGTCATGGGTAATACACTTCTTTTGAGTAATATAATTGATCTGAGCTAATACCTTTTGAAATATGGTATCGTTTTCCATGTCATATTGAAAAATGAAATATAATTCAATCGCTCTAAGTCATATATTCCTAGATATATTCATTGAAATATCTATCTTGTACACATTACTACATCATTAATTATAACAAACAGGTTAGCCTTGGATCTTAAATATTTTCATGGCTATAGAAAATTAAAAGTACTGTATATATTACTGCTGTGATTATGTTGGTTTATCTATCCTTTTCAAAGGAATCTACAAATCTGATGGAAACCAGATTCTTATTGGCAGATAATCTCTACTGTAAAGCATCAGTTCCTCCTACAGATAAAGTTTGTCTCTGGTTAGGGGTGAGTAATTTGTAGAAAGTGAAGCACCTCTTCTGATGCTGAATTTATTGTAGCCCTGAATATGGTTGTAACATATTGGGAATTTCCTAGTAAAATTTAATGAAACGTATTTGGTTATGTGGCAGGGCTCTCTGTCTCTTAAGGATTAGTTATTGTGAATCTCAAGAATACCTAAGCCATTTCCAAGTGAGCCCACTAATGTCGTTTTAGTAGACTTACTTCAGGTGCTGACATCAAACTTTCCTTTGAAGTTTGAAAGTGAACTGTGGAAATGAACTCTTCCTTCTTTTTTATCATTTTTCTATTTATTATATCCAAAATAGCAAACTATGATGTGTGCTTCTCTTCCACAGCTTCCTTGTAAAGCATTGTTTGCCAGCTTTGAAATCATGGCTAAACAGAGAATTATATCCTGAAGCAAAGTATGAGTTAAGAATTGAAGTTGCTGGTCAGTAGCTCGATTCTGATCCTCCATGGCACAGTTTGGAGATCACTCGTGTCCATTACATTTGCAATTTTCATCATTATGTAATGTGTTAGGTGTCGGGTTTCTGGTTCCACAGGTACTTGCTGTGTAACTGGTATGGTATTAAGTCCAGCACCACAGAAGGAGAGGGATGGGCAAGCTGCCTTTAGTCCCATTACCTGCCCCTACCTTATACCTAGAGCTGATGTGAGTCGAAGGTCAGCATCTTCCAGATGGTGGCTGAACTTAAACTCTACCATGATTTCAAGAAATCATAAAAACATCTTCTAACTTAAATGCTGTCCTTAGGCCAATGTTATGCTGGAATATGATATTGATGAAGCCCAGGCACTGCTAGAAAAAAATCTTACCACAGCTACAAGAAACCTTGAGTCTCTAGAAGAAGATTTGGATTTCCTTAGAGATCAGTTTACAACTACAGAAGTCAGTATCCTTTCTGAGGTTCAAATGTTAGGGTTGAATAGTCTCTTCCGTGTACCTCTGCTTGTTCATTGACCTCTTTTGCGCTCAACTACTTTTGGAAAGCACTAGGTGTCAAGGAATTGCAATTCCAACAGTGGGAGTCAGAGCGTTGTATTTCTACTGCATATTTCAGCCAAGGTGGACTCTCAGAGCAAGGTACCATCAAGGAGCAGTGGAAAAGCCTCCTTAAAGTTTCTTTGTTATCAGCCTTCCTCAGTCTGTCTTTGCTGGCTATGGAATTTTGGGAGTTTCTAATCCATCTAGAGGGCATTGGGTTGGGGAAGTGAGCTTTCCTATTCCCAAAGCACCATTGAGGAGCTCTTTATAGTCAGAAAGAAACCTGTCTGAGCGTCAGCAAAGCAGGAAAGTGCAAGAATGACCACATCTGCTTTCAAACCATACCTTCCTTAATCTCCGTCTGCAGATATGGCCAGAGTTTATAATTGGGATGTAAAGCGAAGAAACAAGGATGACCCTTCCAAGAACACAGCATAGTTCTGCTAGTTTTAAATATGGTTTTGATTTTTGAAGTATTTACTTATTTTTAAAACACCTTCCGGTTCAGCCTTTGATGGACTGAGTTTAATTTAATCTCTTTGGTTGTTAACATAATGGTGAGCATCTTCTTTTTTTAAAAAAAAGCAAATTTTATTTGGTCCCGTGCATGCTTCATGCAATTGACTTGTTGGAAAAGGAGCCACAACAGTATGTAGTGAAGAAGCCCCTCAGTAGAGTCTCTGGGATTTGAGAGTGGGTCACTTTGCAGGCAGTGCTCTTTGGTCCATAGGATCGATGAGAGATCCACAGAATATAGTGTGGGGAAAGATGTACAGCTGAAGTGATAGGGAATTGAAAACATTGTTGTGTTTTTGGCAACTGACCCCTTTAATCTCACCCTCCAGACGTTCTCTGTTTAATTCTGTTCTGAAGAATGGCTCATCTTGGTACTTCGAAAGATCATAATTGGCCTTTGAAGGGTTAAATAATAAAACGCTGCATCCTGTTTGTGGTCTTAGTCAGTTCTGTGTATACATAAATATCAGCTCATCCCGATTTTTCAAACTGGGGGCAGCCAGAAGCTAATATTTTGCTGCATTTTATTGGCCCGCTGACCATTCCTTCTGTTTGGTCCAGATGTCTTAATGCTTGCAAAGACACTTGCTGCAACCTCTGTGAAACATGAACGGTGTATTGCAGCTCAGCTTCATTTGTTGTCAGGTTGAATGTTATTCCCATGTTGCTTATTAAGGAAGCCTTGCAAAAGCGTTGCCTTGACACCTTCCTTTCTTTGAAGCACACCTGATGGCCGAATTAGCACCATAACTAGCTGCTCAGGTTTCACTTCACCATTCAGTACAGATGTTAACTGGCTTCTAGTTTCATGTAATAAACAATATCTGTAAAGTTTTGTACTATTATTTCATTACATTAAAATAGTGAAACGTAAAATGCGCTTAGATTTCTAAAATGTTTGTTGTTATAGTAGTGAAGAGGGAGACCAATAGTAGAAGGTGGGAGCATTAGGTATGTACGCTGCCTTGAGTTGACAAAAAATAAAGGCAGGATAAATCAAATAAATAAAGAGCACACAGATACGTTCAGGAATGGAGCCTCAAGCTGTTGCGTCCTTAAGATGTCAAAGAGTATATTTGTGTTTCACCAAAAGAGGAACCAAAAGAAAGATATTCTGTTTAGTTTAGACAGGGCAGGAGCAAAAGGAAGCAATGCTTTTGATGATGAAAAACTCAGAAGTTAACATTCTTATGTTGCCAAAAAGCTATTTTGTTGAATAAACCTGTAACTTCCCAGTTGTTTTGTTATTAAAAAGCTAGGGATTTCTTCACAGTAATCCCAAAGTGAATATATAATTCAGTTAAAATTAACAACACTTAATAAAAAACACAATTTATTATTATTTTAAATATTAATTGTATAAAACTTTAAAAAACATTGAAAACTAATAATGCCTTTTGCAGTGTGGTGAAATCAAATGCGCACATGCTGATGCAGATTTGTAGCCTTTTTTTTTCCCAATAAAAATTGACTCAGCACTGAAGTGAGCTGGACACAGGCAGGTATTGAAGCAAATTCTGGGAATTAAGTCTCAATCCATTATTCTACTGGAGAGGCGCTGCTGTCTTTTCCATGTCTTCTATCACATCCTTTTCTCTTCTTCCAAGGGAGAAAGGAAAAGTGATTTTTCCAATGGTATTAATGTTCGAAAAACTTGCAGGTTACTGAAATAACAAGCTGAAGAAACTAATCCATATTCTGGTTGCCCTCCAAATGTGTTCAGTTCTTATAACCTCCTAGGCAGCTTAGCTAAAGACCTTGCACGAGATCAGCCCAACCCATCGAGACAGCAGGGCGGAGAAGGCTAACTGAAGGGAGTAACTGTTGGAAGTCCAAGTATCCGTTGGACTCGGGTCGTCTTCGTGTTCCATGGAAAGTCACAAAAGTCATTCTATGGGGCCTTTGTTGATGTTCAGTCCAGCTCATGGGAGCTTTAGCTGAGCTAGAGGGATTGAGGAATTCTTTTATAAGGCCAACCAAAAAAGCTAGTCCTGCAGGTGTGAAGCGCAGATGGGTTCTGGCAAAAATGCCATCCTGTCTTTCTTTTGCCAGCAGTGGACTTTGATAACCATACTTGGTCACAAACAGTAGCACTGGGTGTTAACTGAATCGAACAGCAGGTTACGTTCCTCTCAAGACCCCAGTACAAAGTTACTCCAAGCCAAACAAAAGGATGCCCTTGTCCTTTGAGTGCCCAAATGTCCATGAAATGTTTAGGGGCAGATGTCAACAAAGACTCTGCTGTGGCTGGAATAGGAAAGATTTTCACTTGACAGTGAAGTCACAGCATTTCAGGAAGGGGCCATTTATCTTGGGGGCAACATCCTGCTGATTGTCTGCATCCCAGGCAAGTTGTAGCTAGGCACGATAGCAGTGAGCCACAGTCTATATTGCAAAGGGTTACCTTGGCTGTCACCAGATTGGAATATTATCCCATTTCTGCTGTTTAGAATCTTTTCGTCCTGGATTTGCTTAATAATAGTTACTTTAAAATATTTCAAATGAAGCCACGTGCCTACAAGTAAAAAAGTCAGTGGATTCCATGGCAAACAGTGGGAGTGTTTATTTTTAACCTAATCTGTGGGAGAGAGGGGGTTTCCCACCACAGTTCATGTATACAGTTACTCAAGGTTTCATGAAAAATGGCAGAGAAGAAAATAAAAAATTGTGTCTTTACATGTATCGAATGTCACATATTCACATTAACTGCTTTGCTAAATGCGAGCATAATTTTCATTCACACACAGCTAAATACAACATTGTGTCACATTTCATTACAGTGCATATAACAGAAAGCTAGCAAAAGTGTACAGTATAATTATATATCTGGAGGTTCTGGATTTTTCTTTAAATCCAGCATGCAGACTAAGATTGTGAACTTGAAACCAATAAACTGGGCTTGTTTCTATTTTGCTGGATTTTTGCCAGATAGCATAAGAAAAAATGTGCTTCCTTTTAATTGTTAGCCTCCAGTTTCTCCTGCACTAGTCAGAATGCTAAAATCAGGCCAGAAAATGTGGTTTTCATTTTACAAAATCAAGCCCCTTCCATTTTTTAAAAAACAGGAACCCTTTTTCCCTACCCCACCCTTGGTACACTGCTAATGGTATAAATGGGTTAAAAATGTAAGTCGTTAGAAAAAGACTCCGTCATGGGTTTTCATCAGGAGTATTAGACCTTCCATTTCAATATATTTTCTAAACATCTTTTTGTCATCCTAATACATGATAATACAAACCAAGGACGTTTCTATGCACGATTTATTGTTCTTGAGTCAGGATGTCTATCTGATACTAATCCAAAGAGATGTGGAAAAATGCTCAAAAGGCATTTGCCACTCTGCTAGTTCATAGATCTTGATTCAGATTGGTGCTGGATCCCTATTCCAGACTCTCTTTTTAAACAAGAGTAAGAAAAACGTAATTTGTTACCACTTAAATAATCTTAGCATCTGGCCATGATCTCCTAGATCCCTTCAAACCTTTCATTTCTGATTCTGTGATTACTTGGAAAATTACTGAAGGTGCATAACAAAAAATACACCTTTGTGCAGGGAATTTATTTGACAATTCTAGGGAAATCTCAGAGCAAGGTCAAACAGGATTCCCTATCACCTGCCATAGCCCTAACAGAGATACAAATTTCTGAGATGGGAAAAAGCCAAGGAGGATCATATTTTAATCCATTTGGACACAACACTGAGATATATTTACATGCAGAAAGTCCTCCATTCACTCCTCAACTCATCCCACACAGGCTGATTTAGGAGATTTTCTTGATTTTGGACTTCAGATTAGATTGACTTGGATTTGCACATGTTAAATTCTGTCTTAACATCAGTTAGTGCTGTTGGCTGGATTCCTATAACAGGCTGAGCCACAAAAAGTACTAACCAAGTTTAAAACTACTGAAGCTTAGGATGTTGTAAGAATGCCATCAAACTCTGGCTGAATGGATCCCCAGATCCAGAGGAAGTGAGTTTTGTCACTAAAATGACAATAGATGAGTGGCTGTGAATTTATCTCCCATTAATTTACATGGTACTGTAAGAGGCTAATTTTTGATCTGTGTGTGCACATATGCACAATCTACGTGTATATAAATACAGTGTAGAGAATTCAACAGTATATGAAATAGTATATAGGGTTCATATCTGTGAAATAAGTTCTGAATTAATTATTTCACCCTAATGAATCAATTATTCCAAGTCCAGATGAACCTACAAGCAATTGCACCTGCACCTAAGATACTTAAGCATATCTTTCAACAATGGCAAACAGGCATTTAAAAAGTAGTTTAAACATTGCCTTATTTTGGTCACAGAAATCATTTGAAATCACCGGTGAATCATGCAGAAACAGGCAACTATAGAAAAAGCTCAGAATGAAACAAAGGTTCCAGTGAATGTATTGACACTCTTAGAAAGCATTACATGGATTTTTCATCACGTCCTTCCACCCTTTCTCTATTTTGCTATCTGAAAAAAAAGCTTTTTTTTTTTTGAGGGGCTCCAACATTTCATCAGCTGGATAGATTGATTCTAAAAATCAATTTGATTGACTGATTAAACAGCTACCCCCTCCCCCTTCCTGGGGAAGCAGATCTATCAAAAAGAAAATGCATATTAAATGCAAGCACAGACCAGATCATAAGCAGCAATCCTTCATGTGAGAAGCTGGAATATTTCTACAATAATGCCTGTTGTATTACACCCGCGCAGATATTATCTAAAAAGAACTCTTTCTTTCGTAGAAATGTTTTTTTCCCCCCTGGTATGCAGATTTAAGTAATTATTCAGCAGAAATTCAGATGATTGACTAAAACGTCTTTAATTGGTTAACAGGCAGAAGAGTTTGCCCTTCTATCTTGAATCCTTATATAAAGCTACAATTTGAGCCAGAGCATGCAAAATATAACCAATCCTACAACCTATTTTACTCCTGGGTTCAACACTAGCAACATTTTTGAAATTTGTCTTGAGTATATATGGAGCTTCCTCCTTTATTCTATTGTATCGCTATAAAAAACGCTCCCCGAAGTCCTTAGCGAACGGGATGCGCGTTTGCTTGTATCCCGTTGCTGATGTCCTTGTAGTCTGGCTGAGCCAGGCATTATCTGCCTTTATCTGAGGCCATAGTGAAAAATCACAAAATTATTAGCATCACCCGAACAGAAAGAAGAGTAAACACCCTGGATGTACACAGGTCACTAAAAACAATATAGCCACTTTTTCTTCCTGCCTCGAAGCATATTATTACGTTTGTTACAAAAAAAATAAAAAAATCCAACGCCCTGATTAATATTGTTTTCTTTAACATTGACTTCTCCCTGTCTTCAGAAATGTTTAGACCCTCTCAAGGATCCCAACCCTCCTTTCCTTCCGTTATGCATTCAGATTCTCAGATGGTCATAAAAAAGCCCAGATCCAGATGCAAAACGCTCCACAAGAGGAAATGTAGAACTGCTGCTGAAAATGCAGAGATTCATCTTGATTTTAAAAGCAGTTACCCACAACTCAGTAACTCCAAGATGACACATGTCACTTGCAAGCCACCAACGTCTTCCCTCTGTTCACATCTTACCCACCTCTTGGACAGCCAAGCCAGTCATTTTTTATTTTGCAAACACTGATTTTCCTCTAAAAATTCACAATTGCGCAATGACCTCCCTCTCTTAAGCAAGCCAGCTTGCTTTCCTAAAGCAAAGCTTAAATGATTGATGGTGTACTCAGAAGAAAAAGAAAGCCCTTAAAACTACAACACTGAAGTCAACCGACTTCCAGAACAATGATTCCTTCTTTGCATCCCTTCTCTCTGTCTTGTCTTACCACGCACCCTCATTCTTCTCAGCTGGGACTGCCAGGAAATGCAGCATACAAAGAGCAGGAAGCATGGTTTCAACTGCTGCTTCAGCTTTAAATAATCAGTGTCACTCTTGGCTTTTTCCAGAAGAAAAATAGGACACTCTTGATTAAAATGTGCTTCCTTCTCTCTCTCTGGAATCACTCCCCCTTGCCCTCTGACTTGCAGGAACGTAACTTTCCAGTGGCTCCGGGCAACCATAAAAATTTCATTAAGAGATGTAGTGGATAAGGTCCCAGACTTAGATCAGGAAGAAGCATGGGGTGATCAAGGTCTTGCTGGTTGATTTTGGGCCAATTAATCTCTTAGTCCAACCTACTTCAAAGGTTTGTTGTATTGGGGAAAAAGACCCCACATAAGCCTGCTGGAACGCCCTGAGAAAAGGTGGAATATAAATGCAATCATGTATATCAGTAACCATTATTAGTAATAACCAGTAGGGTTACCTCATCTTGTATCCTAGCAGACATCTAATATCTGAGGTCCCAACTCCTTCAGATCTTGGATGAAAGCCCCAGCAAAAGCCGAAATATTTCTTCAAACTGGATGTGTTTTAAGTGATAGGAGGAGGAAATCATTTCGTACATAGGGAACACTCATCACTGTATGTAATTCTACTTTAATTAATTAAAATGGAAAATGTTGCACACCTGACTCAGAGAGATCAGTTAGGAAACATCTGGCTGAGAATTCTTCCAGGACTGAGAATCAGTATGGGTACTGTAGTGGTTGAAGTGTTGGGCTAGAACTGGGGAGACCCGGGTTCTAGTGCCCCTCAACCATGGATGACGTTGAGTGATTTTGGGCCAGTCACCCCCACTCAGACCAGCCCCCTTGGCGGGGCTGCTTTTCTGGAGAAAAATAGGAGGGACCACTATGCACAATGCCTTGGGCTCTTGAAGGAATGTGGGATATACATCTAATAAATAAATAACCAATAAATATTGACCTTGCCAATTCAACAGTGGAGTTCTCCCAGATTAATACTGGAACCTGATCTGTCAAATTCCGAGAAACAGAGACATCAGAACTGGGACTCATAAAGTAACCGTCTCTCTGGGTTCAGTTTTAGTGGCTTGAGCAATGTTTTAACTTGTTTAATTTCTACTGCAACCATAAAATGATTATTAAAAGGTGGCAAGCATGTGATTTCTGATAGAAGCCATGATTTCTCTTTTTCTTGCTCCTTTTCTAAACACGCATCATAATCATTAGGCGATTTGGACAATGGCTTCAAAGAAAGAGAGAAAAAAAAGAACAGAAAAAAGCAAGGAAAGACAAGTCTGTTTAAACCAGGGCACATAAAACCCACGGAGGGTGGCTATTCCTACCCAGTCTTTCCAGACTCTCATTGCCTTGTCTCTACCACGTTAACATGCATCTGGATTGATTCGTATGTAATGGGGTTATAGCCTCCTTGTGGCTTCTGTTCTCCAGCAGTCCAAGCGCCGGTGCTTTGCCTCCCGAACTGCACCTTCTCTGCCTTCCCACCAAGTTTGTGGAGTAGAATAGAGCCTGTTGGGGCTAGTCAGTCAGCCTCCTTCCTCCTCGCGTGGACTTCACAGTTAGCACAGGCACCTTCTGTCTGACTTCACCACCTCTTCCGAAGAATGCACGACGTTGGGGACAAAGCCGCTCTTGACCCCTTCCCAGCCCTCCTGGATGCTTATATCCCCCCTTTTCACAAGTTCATAGATGTCTCGAGTCAGGTCAGTGAAGGCCTTCTCCACATTAATGGCATCCCGGGCCGAGGTTTCAATGTACTTCATATCGTAGGCGAGGGCCAATTTCTCGGCCTCATGTCGGGTGACTTGCCGCTGCGTGTCGAGGTCACATTTGTGACCCACTAAAACAAAGACAATCTGATAAGGCTGGACATGGGCTTTGGTCTCCTCCAGCCACTCATGGACATTCTGGAAGGACCTACGGTTTGTAATGTCAAAGAGGAGCAGGCCACCGACGGAGTTTCTGTAGTACGCTCGTGTGATGGATCTGGAAGAGAGCAAAGACCCAAGAGAGGAATAAAGACCATCAGAAAGAATTAAATGCAAGCAGCAAATAACACCTTTTTTTCATCTTGGGGACTCCCATTGGGTACAAATCAATCCCAAAGGCAGTGGGCTTTATTCATCGGACCAATGGCTTGCATGGCTCAGCGTGTTGCTCAAATCCAACCAGTTGGTGCTCATTCAACAAATTAATGCTGCATTTTAAAGACTAATATGAAGATAATTTGCCAAGATGCACTGCTTTGAAGAACAGTTCCTGCAAGAGCACAATGTTTCTCCATAACCCATTCATGACTGGATTCTGTATTTAATGTTGGGTTCACATACTGTGATAAACATAACCTGGTTTGCAGAACACAATGTGTAAATCAAGCCATTGTGGTCTGCAAAACGGGGTCCTGGTTTGGCATGATCCTACCAGAGTATATCAGACAACACTGTGACTAATATTAGAAGGTGTTGGCTGTTACACATGGTGCTTAGCAGGGATGCACAGAACACTTTGAATTAACCACCCAGGCAGAATTCATACATGCTAGGCAAAAGTAGCTGGCTTGTCTAGTGTTCAGTGTGGTGTTAATACAGCCAGTGTGGCTTAAAAGTTTTGCTAAGCCATGGTTTAACAAGCCAGAATGGCTGGAGTCCCACAACATGCTGAGCACATTATGGCTTGGAATGAGAACCCATCATAATTTTAATCACAATCTATGAAATAAAACACAAATGGCTGAATCTTTTCAACAGGCTAAACTATACATTAAAAATGGTTGGATTCAAACAAATCAGAACCAAAAAATCACATTCTTCCCCAGGATAATGTGAATTCAGTTACAATGTCAGACTAGGATTAGGCAGACCCAAGTTCAAATCCTCCATTCTGCAACAAAGCGCTCTCTGGATAACCTTGCATCAATCCCTTTCCACCACACAGGGCTGCTGTGAATGTGAAACGAGGAAGCCTTGAGCTCCTTCAGAAGAAAGGAAGTAAAACAGTTAAATCCATATTTTTTTCCTTCTTGAGTTAGTGCAATCTTCTATGCTTCAGATGCAGGATCAGAACTGCACACATCAAAACTGTCTCCCGGAAGTTTCACAGAAGGCCCTGTTGCTGTGCAGTAGGTCTACCACCATTCGTGGTCACTGAAAGTGTAGCTGACAAGAAAGGTATGTACTATGTTAGACTTCCCAGGAAGGGTCAGTAAAGGTTAAAACACCCAATAGCACCATGTGTTCAAAGGTTGTATTTGTGAAGGCAAACTTGTCTTTGTGTCAGTGAGTGTGGATAGTTCTGTCCAGGTGACCGCTCTACAAAGGTCCATTAATGGGACTCCAACTGTCATACCTGTTGATGTAGATCACCCACCTACCACCAAGTGTCCTGTTGCCAACGGGCCTGAGTAGACAAGAGTATTCCCTGACCTACTTGCTGATGGTGGATCATGTAACTCACCTCTGCAGGTTTCCTGTTCTGTAGAAGACAAGTAGGCTATCAACCCTCGGTCTTGCTCAAGTACATTTGAAGGATATTTTTTGTACCTTGCAGGCATCTAACTTGTGGCTGGTTCATTCTGGCAGATATTGGGAAAATACAATCTCCTCTGTTTGGTGGAATTTGGAACTGACCAGGGGCATGAAGCAGAGATCCAGTCTTAGTACCACCTTGTCTTAATGGAATATACACAAATCCCTTCTCACCTTTCCTAGGTCCTCCTAGACAGATTTAGGACTACCTACCTGTCTTCTAGGTTAGCATGTTATTGGGAGCATGACTGATGAGTTCAAAGCGGGTAGTCATGAGAACCCTAAGAACCAATGACAAGTCCCAGGAGGAGAAACAATGAATAACTGGCTTGGACCATGTAGCTCATGTGTTAATATACCTCACTTAGACAAAAGGAGACCTCGTGCCCAATCTTTGTATTAGTTGCTAGCCTCTGCCAGAGCAGAGGAAATCTGTATTTCAGCCTCCTTGCTCATCCACTAAGATGGTCTCCTGGGTCAGAAGAGAGCAATTAAAATCGCCCATGCCTCAAGCATCTTCATCTTGCGTGCTACTTTGGATAGCGTTGGAGCTGGTGGGAAAGCACAGATCAGACTTTCTGGCAACAGGGCCACCAGGACATTGATCTCTATTCCGTTGTCTTGAAATCAGAAGCAGCTTCTCCCTTGTCTATTGTCCAAAGCTGTGAACCTCTGGACTCTGAAACAAGGACTGACCACTCAGCCCATCAACCATGGTATTCACTGATCCTTTAGTATTCTGCTGATAGGGAAAGTAGGTATTTCTCCATGCATGTCTTTAGTCATGTGTCCTCTTTCCAAAGGCCCCTTGATCTGGAACCACCCTGACTATTTACACAGTTATAACATTGTTTATCTGCCTCAATAGGTGCTACCCACCCATCTGCTGGGAAAGTGCCTTCAGAGCCAGCTGTGCTGCCCTCACATCAAGTGGTTGACAGACAGATCGGACACATCCCTGCATTGACCTGTTTTGGAAGTTGGCGCTCCACCCCATTAGGCAGGCATCTCTGGTCATCTGATCCCTGATTGGTTCTCTGATTGGTCCATTGCTGTTCTGGGTCGTTTGTTGATGTCTTCTCTTAGGCATTTGGTTTCTATTGGGAATTCTGGGAGAAGGCCATCTTACCAAAGATGATACAGAAGATCGCTTCAACCCTGGTTCCCAGAACTGTTCTTCATGGATTTGCTTGAGCACTCTATGTTTTTGGTTCTGTGAGCACCTCTCTTAACTCTCTTGGCACTACTGATTTAGAAATCAAGGATGCCATCAACTAATTTCTCAGTCTTAGTTATAGCCAGCTATTCCATGATGTTCCTGGGTGGGAGATTCAGCTTATTTTCCAGCATGGGATCTGGAGCAATCCTGGGTTTGGCTGGCTCTATCCACTCCTTGATTTTCTTTCTGAAGAAGTATGGAAAGACTATTCTACTGGAAACTGAAGGGGATATCTTGAGAGATCCTTGAGAGACCCTTTGGTGGAAGCACTGATTGTAGGATTGCTGGAGCCCAGATCCAGGATGAGTATCTTTGTTAACTTATTAAGGATCATCAGGAATAAGTCAACATTAAACAGTCTCTGACGGCAAAAATGAAGGTTAGGTGAAGTCATGATTAGGCAGGTAGCCTTCCTCTCAATCTGAATGCCATGAGGAATGGACCTCAGGCATCTCACGTAACTCACTCCTCCAGTTCTTGCAGAGTAAGCAGAATCTTCATCACATATTGCACTGTTATCTGAGGATCCTGATTGTGAAACAGTGGCCCTCTTCTTGCTCTTTTGACCCTCTTTCTGCTTCTGATACTGATGTCCAGTTCCTTCCTGGATTTCTTCTCATTGTGACTTTTTGGGTCTCCTACTTTTCTTCTTTTTCTATGCAAATGTGAAAAAGATTGCAAGCAGGTGGAGAATGGAGAAGAAAAAGATTCACTTGATAGCATTCTGGAGGTGAGGGTGATGGTTCCCTTCTCTTCCAGCTTAATCTTGCGCAGCTTCTGTTCCCTATGAGCTGCTCTGGTATTACATATCAATCAGCTCAGAAGACTCTTTCACTCATAGAAAGGCAGCCTAGATGTGGCTCCTATGTTCTGTGTAGATAGACTGAATCCAATGGAGGCCTGTTCCTCTTCTGCATTGGGTGCTGCCATAGCGAGCCACGTTGGGCTGGCTTGTGTCTCTCCTGTTCTGTTGGGCCACATTCCCCTCCTCTGAAATACCACCACATTTAGAGCTGCTTGGTTCCTCCATCGATGGAGAAAAGGAGAAGCTGACTCACCTGGTTTTGACATGGCTTGAAGGCTTCAGTGCTGCTGTCCTGCCCTTCTTGGCCTCTGTGACAATCCCGATCACCAAAAGATCATCACTGCTGGGACCACCAAGTGCTGATCCAACTGCCAGAGAATCACTGCTATTTCTGTCCAGTATTTGCTTAGCTGCCAAAGGGTTGTGGTCACTGGAGGTGCTGCCTGTGCCAAGTCAATTGGGACATTTTGCTGCATTGGAAAGTTGGTTGTCATCATCATCGCTCTGCTCTATCTCCTTTGGAAGTTCTTTTGCCTTTTGGATCCTGCTCCATCAGGCTGGGCAATTGTTCTGGATCCAGTGCTCCCAGTTTCTGAAATTTGTCTCCAAACTTGTGGAGATACCTTCAAATGCTAGGATGGGCAATCAAACACCTGACACTCATGTTCCCCCTTGTTCTTTCTCCTATTCTTGGTTGCTTTTTGTGTAAGACATGAAGCTGGTGGGGCAGGAATCACCACTTACCAGAACAGATAGAACCACTATGCCACTATAGTTCATTGCCTTCCACAGCGCTCAAGAGAATGACCAATTATCTGTTGACTAGGAAAGGCATAAGGAAAAAGCCTTGCATTTCAACTCTGGAGCAGAGACCTATAGAATGGCTTTGACTTCTGTGGATTGCAGTGGACAAATCTTTTCTGTGCTTATAGCTTCTATCTCCAGTCATCAAGTCTGTGAGCCTTCTGCCAGACAAGCAAATTCCTGAAAGGTTAAATGCCTGGAGAGCCAAATTTGAAGTCATGCCTTGGATGAAGCCTGACACTCCCCCTCCCCGCCCCCCGCCGCCTTTCTTCTTTGGTTTTTGGCTTTCAAGATGGAGCCAAGAGAAAAGCCACAGGTTCTCCCTAGAAGGTAGAGGTAAAAACGGAAGGGTTTCCTCTATGGGGCACAAAGACATCCTATCCCTAGAAGAGATGGCATCAACTGTTTCCTTTCTGGCATCTCTAGCTTTGGTGACCAGGAACATTAAGCACTACCTGCCTGCCACACAATGATAGTGCTGTGGTATAGGCCTCTTGGTGGAGGAATCTGGCACCTTCCCCAACTTGGCACTTTCCAGATGCCCTAGGAGAATTGGTTGGGTTTCTTGCATTTACATCCCACTTTTTTTCCTGAGAATTCAGGGCAGGCCTCTCTTTTTCATCCACACAACATTCCTGGGAGGTAGGTTAGGCTGAGAGGAAATGACTGGCCCTGAGTCACCCCGTGAGCTTCCAGGGCTGAGGCTGGATCTGAACCTGGGTCTGCCCAGTTCTAATTTGACACATTAATCCCTGTTCCATAAGGTCCATGGTGGCTTTGACAAGCCCCCTGATCAAGAAGAACACAAGGAGAGGAGCAAGCGGCCAGGAGGCCCCACTGCATCAAAGCCTCTGGAGGGAACCCAGTGGGGAGGCCTCTGAGTGGTATCTCCTCCCCTTGGAGAGAGTGGGCACCCATCCCGTTTCCACGGACCACCATGGCCAGGTCTGGAGATGCTTCTCTGCACTGGAGGGGGAGGCCTTTCTTGGAAGGGCAAGCAAGATCATTGCTGTGGCCCACAGATTGCCTTGGAGGTGGAGGGCTTAAATCTGACCAAAGAGCACCCACCCCGTCGCCCACCTGTCCCAGGGACTCCACCATGAAATACCTGGCAGAGGAGATGGACGGGGAACTGTTCTTGCATCAGCAGAGAGAGCCCCCGCCCCCACCCCGGCCCAGCAGGGACCTTCCTCCTTCCGTCCGCCCCTCCATCCAAGCAATGATAACACCCCCCCCCTTCCACTTTC